CTGTTCTTCTCTTTCAAGTTCTTGTTGTTGTTTAACAAACTCTCATAATTCACTGTATTTTAACCTAAGTTGAGATCCTCTTTCTACCCATTTATCAAAATCTATTGATATTGTTATATAGCGTAATTTTAATCTCTATTTTCGTTACTACTACAGTTGTGCGTGTATATATATAGATAGATAGGCCTACTTATTTCTGCTGTCATTCACGTTTTCTTCTCACCAATTGTCAGATTTAGAAAAAAAAGAATATATATATATATATATATGTTCTTTTTGCCAATTGTCGAAATAATTGGATTTTACTTATAATTCTTAATAGTATAAATATTATTAAAAAAATGGTGTTGGGCATAGGATTCTTCTACAGTAGGTGTCTGTGACTCGTTAGCGGTAAATTCAATGATGAATAAACAGCACACACTTGTTTTTAAATAATATATGTATATATATTTGGAACAAGTTAAACGTATGTACAACAAAGTCTTCACACTATAGAGATTACAGGCATGTCATAAACACTATTTATATATAGTTCTCTTCTTCTTGTCAAAAGTCCACTTAGGCCTATTCAATTAATTTAGAATTTCAGTTGAGAAGTTGAACTATCTTCTGTATATTACTATCGTACTAGTATTCTCTATGTGATTCACTTACAGTTGTGGCATTACTTACCGTAATTCGTTTCATCTTCTTTCTTTTGAAGATCCTCTGTTCCTTTTGTCAAAGTGTACCCAGGCTGATTCAATTACTTTAGAATCATGCTTTGACAAAATAAAATTATCCTTATCTTTTTTTATACTGTTAGTTTCACTCTTAACATATTAAACACTAGGTCTATGTCAGTCGTTAGGCCTATCACATCTATGGTTACTAACTTCACACAGCTATATTCTCTTTCGCTATTATCTGTCTATTGTTGTCTGTCTGCTGCTTCCTGCTCGTCTCACGCTAACAAAACCTTCTACAATCATCTGCTTTTTACTCTTATTATAACAAAACTTAAAAATAATAAAATATTCACTCACAAATATAAATTAATCACTAATATTTAAACCAGACAGTCGTTTATATCATGACAGAGGTAAATGGTATATTTTTATTCTAATAACACTTTTATTCAGTATCAAACCCCAATATTTAATTGTACCATACATGGCCTTTCACGAACAAACTATTTCCTGGTATATAAAGTAAAACTTCAAAATTGCAAAAAATACCAAACACCTCAGTTGTCACAAAATAATGCAACAATTGATTAACCAGAGAAAGATGTGACTTGAAGATATTGCAACTGAACAAGGTTGCCACAAATCGTTTTTCAAGTTAATCTAATTTATTTCTTTTTTGGTGAGACCTCATTATTCTCGTCACAATGTGATCTCCTTGGCTTTTTGAAGAAGAAAATATCTAGTTACTTTTCAGCAGTAATTACCCCTCTCTCCATGAGCATCCTTTACTTGCATGACACCAGGTGTTTAGTAAGTTACATTCAAAATTTAATTAAACTACTTTTTATTTGTTCATGTTATACTAATTAGTATAACATAAAATCAAAGCTAATATTCCATGTTTTAATAGTATACAAGTTTTAAGTTCTTAATTTTATAAAGCAATATTACAAAAATATCCTGAATTTCCCCTAGTGTGAGAAATGATATTTTTTCTCTAGGCATCCCTTCTCCTCTAATTTATTTCTCACCCCTCCAAGAAGTACAAAATTTAACATAAATTACTTATTATAATATTGTCACCGCTCAGATAAAGCATACTTTTGATCCTTCAATTTTGTTTGGTTACAGAGCCATCAAATAGAAAATCAGACCTCTCTTGCCACACTCACCTGTCACATCCTCTCTTTCACGGTTTGTCAATAGTTCTTTCTTACATTTAGTGCAATATTATTTATAACCAATGGAAAGCTAAGGTTTTCATCTATCAAACAACTTATTATATTACATTGTTTTCTGTACAGAAAAATTTTAATTTCTCTTTCAGTACAAGCTTTGCTCCTATGGGAAACACATCAACTAGCTTGGATGAATTTGTAACAGCTCTTGTTGCATAATTAGAAAGCCAGGAAAATTGTGATAGTTATGGGACATTGTCTGCTTTTTGGATGTTATAATTGTATGTTCTTTGGTGCATTATTTGATAAAATATAAATTATTTCATGCACTACTACCATTAACATAAAAAAAAAGGTAGGGGTTAAGTGTCAGTAACAGCAAATAAAAAGAAGGCCCATGTACCATATTTTTTGGTGTATAAGACGCACTTTTTTACCCCAAAATTTGATGTCAAAATCTGCTTGTGTCCTATACACTGAAGGTATTAATAATATATATCTATATATACGATATACACAAGCCATGTGTAAAAATATTTAAATAGGCATGCATAGTTTAGTTCAATTGAATGTGTTATTTATAACAATAGTAGTTTTTTTTCTTTTAAAAACATAACTATTTATAATGCTTCCTAAATAATGAAAAAATAAATTACAGTGAAACCAATGAAGATTTTGTAGGTTTTGAACCAAACTAAATAACAGTAAACCTTTTTTCTGATTTACAGTATTTTCTTATTTTGATATTTTGAGCTCTTTTGTGTTTAGAACAATATATCCTACTTTTTAAAGTATCAAATTGAATTTTTTTCAATAAAAATCTTTCAAATGGGACTGTAGCTTTTTTCCCCAAAACTTTGTCTTCAAGATAAGGGTGCGTCTTATATTCTGAAAAATACGGTAAGTATTTTATTTCTTGTTTTTGATGTGTATTCTTTATTTATCATTGTAAAAGTAACTAAAATATAAAAATAGGAAACTCTTTAGATTAGTGAAGATTAGATTATGTAAAATATATAATAATAATAATAATAATATACTAATTTTTCATGAGGCATGCACGCAAGCAGCTTGGATTATCTCATGGGTATTGTAATTTGATAACATGTGAGCTGCACATTCCCCTATGGCTCAAGTGATTTACAATGGTGTGAATAATACTAGAACTCTATGCACTCGTCATATTTAAGCATAACTAGATGTATACTGTTACTAGTTTAATGCTACTTAAGATAAACAAATGTATTTTCATGTTACAATTTGAAGTCATTCTAGAAAGAAAAAAATGATAGTTTAGATTTATTTTAGATTTTTATTATTATTTTTTTGGTGGTTATGAGGTCGTTCAAACTGACCAATCTTGTATAGAATTACTGTGGAGAAAATAATAATGATAAAATATAAAGTTTTTCTGAAAAAAAACGTTTGAAATGTACTTAGGAGGTTTAAGAGATTACACTAATGACATTTGAAATTTTTGAGATGAAGAAAAGTATTTTTAATCTTAATATGAAGATCACTTTGCACTCAGACTGGTCAGAAAAGACTCAGTATATTCACGGACAAGTCTTTAGTAAAAATACTTCATTAAAAAACTGATTTTGTTTACAAATGACTTGTAATATTTACTAAACATCTGCCAAATTTTGTGAAGATACACATACTGTATTGAAATTTATAGTATTAAAACTATATACAAGTAAAAATGGCTTGTATTGATAAAGTTAGTAACCAGCTCAGTGATAAATGTGCAGCGCATGTACTGTACGTATTTACTCTAATCTAGTTGGTTAGGCTGCGGATGCCAACCGGGCACATTCCAAACATCATGAACAGACCACTACAAAGTGTATGTGTATGTGATATGTGCATGACAAAATGTGAAAATACTGTATGTGCCATTTGACAGGAATGTCTGAGAAATGAACATCAGCTTTGGCTTTGGTATATCAAACTGAAACATTACAGCACTTTCACTGTGTTGTGGGAAGTCTCAAAGGTAACATACAAGAGAAAGGTATGATTCATACGTTATGCTAAGTAAAGAGGAAAGTGATATGCAACTGGGGTTGTTTTGATTCGCAAATTGCTATGCGAACCTGGATATTTTGTCCCCTGAGCAGGTGAATGTTTCACATTCAGGAAGAGTTTTCAACTTTTTCCATGCATACAGATTTGTAGCTGTATGTTTGGTATTAACCATAGAAAATTTGTCATAGAGTGTGGCTAAGTTACTTTTGCTTTAATTACCTATTATGCTTGATCATTCCCGATTGTAGTTACTTGTGTTTTGTATTGGGAAGGATTGTTCTGTAGTGGAATATGGTATGTAAAAGGGAGATGGTGATTTTTGAAGGCATGTTCTTATTTTTTATTTGAATGATCAACAATGATCTGGGTAGTGCATGTCCTCTTGGAGAGATGACACTATTACATATAGTTGTACTCTCACATTGTAATCTAGAATATTTGTACAACTCTGCGCTATTTGGATTGTTTTTAGATCTTGGCCAATTTTGCCTTCTGGGTAAGACCAGCACATCTGGTTTCCTGTTAATTTAGGTGTAAATACATTATACCTGAAAGTACCACACTACTAAAATTTATTTATAATAGTAATCACAGCACTTACTAACATAAACTGTATAGTAATAGAAGTGAAAACTTCCATAAAAATGTGTAAAAAATATACAGTATTTTAATTCTTGAAAGAAAGGAGAAATAAGCAAGTTTGTTTTAATCAAATTAAATTTTACAAAGATGAATTATCTTTGAGGTAATAATGTGGTATTTTGAGGTCAAACTGATTTCCCCAAAGAGTATATCAGGTAGATTCACTATATAACAGAAGGATTGGCAGAATATATCATGAAGTAATATTCAGTTTAGCTAAAACTGAGTTTGAGCAAAGAAATAAATGGACTTCATACTATGTGTAGCAGTGTGTGTGTGTGTGTAATTGCTTCTGAATGCTGGATGGTAATTTTTCACTGGGTAGAATAGGTGTTACCTCCAGAGAATAACAAAGGAACAAATGCAGCTAGAACAGAATCAACTTAACAACTTTCTTGACCACAAGAACGTTGTGAATGAGCATGTTTGAAATAGCTCTCAAAAACATAGTTTTAAATGATTCATTACTTTTTCAAAGGAAGCAGATGAAATTATGCATAACTTTGTTGAGGCAGCACAGAAAACTTGCAGTGGCAGTAACTGTTTGTCAGCTTTTGAGGAATTGAAGAATGAGATTCAAAACAATAACAACATTGTAATAAAAAAAATTATTTCAGGTGAACAAGATTAAGTGTTTATGAGAAATTTTTGTAAAACATATGGTAAAAAGAAATTGGAAAAATAAAGGTTTCTTTGTTCGTAGTAATCATTCTTTGATCTATAAGTCTGTAATCATGGTGCCTTGTGTTTAAGTGATTTGAAGATCTAAAAATTTCTAACACTATGTAAAAACATATTGTTTTAATTTAATCAGCATTTAATTAGAATATTTTAAAGATGTCATTTTAAAAAAGGTAAATATTTATGTTCTTATAATACGATAAAAATACTGAGCCACACAGTTATAAATATAAAACTGAATTTCAAATGAGCTAATAAAAATTATGTAACATCAGTATTGGTTCAACCATTTTAAAACATAATGACCTTGCATATCATTTATTAAAACATTTAAAAATAACTGCAATTTTATTATTATATAACTTTTAATATAGTGCTTAGAAATATATATTTCTGTTTATAACATTTCTGAATGCTCAACATGTATCTGGACTATCAAATGCTGTATATCTACCTTTCACACATTTACTAATAGCCTCTAATTGCCACAATGTTTAATTTATTACATTTTTTCAACCATTAGAACTTTCTTCTTATAGTTTAAAAGATAATTGGAGCTGTATGGTTATTTTTGTTGACTTGGTGCAGTTTAAAAACATTAAATATTCTACATTTATAATAAGTCCAGTAAAAGTCAAATTCACCTCACACCTAGATGGCACATAGCATCAGATGCTGAACTCTGGTTTCAATGACATAAATGGATGAAAATGGTGACACATTCCCCCTGGGCAAGAGATGTTCATAATTAAACACATTTAATTATTATAGAACTTTTAATATAGTGCTTAGAAATATATATTTCTGTTTATAACATTTCTGAATGCTCAACATTAATAACTATTTGATTTTCATAAAATTGAAAATGTCAACACATCAGTCTGAAGAAATGTTTTCAATTAAATGACATTAAAGTATAAGAGAAAAATAATTCTGACTAGATTTTACCAAGGTTGCAATTTGTTCTTTCACCACTCAGGTGATTACAATCTACTGATCAGAGAGCTAAAGAACTTGCATTACAAAAGAAGCCTGAAAGGAAAAAATAAAACTTGAAACCTATAGAATTGTGCAAAAACATACAAAAAAGAAAGATTCTGAAACTTTGTATTCCAGTTAATTTATCAGTTATTTACATTAATGGTAACCTTTCAGTGCTATCATACATTGTGTCAATGAATAAACAACTTGTTCATTAAACCTGAAAAATGATTGCTAATTAATAAATGTATACCATAGTTTGAATGCTGATTTGTGGCAAGAGCAGACTAAACATATCACAAGTAAATACTTTTCTGTATCCAAAACTGTGTATCAGTCAATGAAATTAAGCTTTTAATCTTATAAATTTGAACATGTGTTGGACCAGACTATATAATTTGTATTTGCTGTTCATCACCTACCCTTCTGGAATTTTTTCTAATAATCATTACTCTCAATGCTTATGTGGTGTATGTACATATGCATATCTGTTTGTAAAACACATGGTAAAAGGAAATTTCAAATATAAATTATGCTTTGTGTTTTAATGATGTGAAGATCTAAAAGTTTCTTATAACTAATTCAGCCTTGCTTATTCTAACTGAGCATGCTGGTCCCAAACCTGGATAAATGAGGATGGTTACCATAAGAGCTGGTCAGCCGAGTGTGAAAACCATGGCCAAAAACAAAATATGAATCTCTGGTCTACAGTTAAAGAGTATAGAGCTAAGGTGTATCTTGGAAGCATTGCACAGCAGCAACTCCCAACTGCTGTGACAAATGGGTAAGGGAGACCACAGTCTGTGGAGAAAAGTGTGAGAATTGTCAGAATGGGCACATAGAATGTCAAGTCTTACAGGGATGGGTTGTGACATATGAGATGTAATGGAGGAAAGAAAAATAAGAGCATTATGTGTAACAGAAACAAAATTGAAGGGAAAAGGCTCAAGATTGCTAGATGATGGTTATAAACTGTTTTACAGTGGTGAAAACAAATGGCATAGCCATAATTTTAAATGGAATTTGGAAAGAAAAGGTAATGGAGATCCAAAGAATAATTGAAAAGATGATGGACGTGAAAACAGTACTTGGAGGCTGAAATGATAAAATAGTGTCAGCATATATACCACAGCAAGGATTATGTGCTACGAAGAAAGAGAGAAAGGAGAACTACTGTGGACTGCAAAGCGATTCCAAGAGAAGAATTAGTAACCCAGTGTAAACTATTAGTTGCAGAACTGAGGGTACAAAACGAGCAAGAGTAGGAGAAGAGAAAGTAAAATAAAAGGCAATAAAACAAAAGAGAGGCATTTAAAGAAATGACAAATAATGATGATGAATATGCAAGATTTAGATATGGAGAATGTAGGAAGTAAACAAAGAAAGTAGTTGCCAAAGTAAAAAGTGAAGCTTGGAAAGAGTGGTACGAAAATCTAGGTACACTGGAAGAAAAGCAGGCAATATATAGGATAGAAAAATCAAAAGAAAAAGCTAAATAGATGGTGGAGAAATAAATGCAATAAAAACTTTACAGAGCTGTATTCAAGTTGATGAAAAAGACATTAAGAAGAGATGGAAAGAGTATTATGAAGAATTGATGAATGTAGAAAATGAAAAAGGGGTTTTAGAAGTGGTGGTCATGGAAGAAGTCAGAAGGTTGGAAACAAAATGAAACTTTGGAAAAAAAACAATTGCTCCATCGGGAGTGATAGTGAAAACAATAAAGGCTTTGGAATGGGAGAGCATTGAATGGGCATGGCAGCTTCTCTAGAAAATATGGGAAGAAGTGAAAATGCCTTCAGCATACTGGTCCCTACATATAAACAGAAAGGTGAGACATGAAACTGTGCATATTTTAAAAATATTTGAAAGAGTAACAGAATACAAGTTATACAGACTAATGAAATGCAGTATTTTTATACCTGGGAAGGGAACAGTGAATGCTATTATGCACAACCAGGCAACTGCAGAAAAAAATGTTTGAGGAGGAAGAGGAAGCTATAATTGTGGATTTAGAAAAAGCATATAACAGGGTGCCATGAGACATCATTTACTGGTGTCTCGGGGAGAAGGTAGTGAAAACAATATATGATGGAGCAAAGACAGTAGTAAGAATGGGACAAGGAAGAACTGAAGAGTTTGAAGTAAAAAATAGATCTACACCAAAGATTGGCATTAAGCCCTTTCCTGTTTTTGATAGTGATGGGTGATTTGAATGAGGAGGAATGCTTTGGGACATCTTGTTTGTGGATAATGTGGTTATAACAGCTGAAACAGAGAAATAGTTGGAGGAGAGGTGCAAGAAAATATGAAAAAAAAGGTGAATTAAAGGTAAAACCAGGAAAATGGAGTTAATGCTAACTAAGCAGCTTAAGAGGATTAGAGGAGTTGCAGATAAAAGATAGTAACAACTTTGATATACAACAGTCAAAATAAATAGATTTAGTAGTTTCCAACATTAATGAAGAAAGAGGCTGTGAAGTGGAAGTAAGGGAAAGAATAATAGCTGAAGATAGCTTTTATATGCGGAAACATCTGTTAGCTGAGTTCTTGCACAGATCTTAAAATATAACGTTGATAAACGGAAACATCGGCACATGTAGATCTTATATTCTTTGTAACATCTCAACCAACAATTGGTCCAGTTATGAACACTATTTT